GACATGCCATATAAGTTTTGCAAACTGCTTGTGAGCTGTTTCAGTTAGACCAGAGCAGCCGAAACAACAAAGCTTGCAGTTGTCTTTTGGATTTCATTGTGAAAAGCCTTTGGGTAGTTTTCAGATGAGAGAAGATCCTTGGTTCCTGAGAGGGAGGAGTTCTGCCGAAACTTTGAAGATCTCTGTAAACTTTGCAAATTACCCATCTTTTGGAGACAATTATATCAAACGATATCATGGATTACAATACATGAGAAGTGTTTAGAGCCTGGAAGATTATTTATGTTTGGCATTAACTCCTGTGGTCATAATTTCAAGTGGGGAGAAAAGGAATACACAGGAACCCTCTTATTATCTTTTGAAATATGAAGATCAGAGGAAAAGAAGGGTTTAAAGTGTGGAGTGATGGTCCTCAAAACCTGTCTGTAAATTAGTTGACATCCTACATCTATAAAAACAACAAGGCTTAGAGCTGATTTCCAGGCACAGAGTGGACCTCATGAGTAGTTAGCAGTGCTTTGAGATCTGAGTTTTTATACACTGCAGGAGGAAATTGGAGCCTGCAGGGCAGAGTACCTGTACAAATGTTTCCTCCTTGCTTGGACTGATACAAGATTTGGAAGCCAAATTCGGGAACTGACATTCCACCAGTGAGAAAAAAAAAAAAGCAGCATGGACAGCAATAAAGATGATGATGGACTGTTCAACAGGATTGCATTTCCAGGAGCTATGTCCCTGGCTAACAACCACGTGCATCCCCACGGAGTCCCCCTGAGAGAGCCCTTTGGCATCCCCTTCCATCTGGACCCATCTTACTGGGAGCAAGCCTATGGCGGGCATACAGGTCGCATATCCTACATCCCATTCCCTGGCTATGTGGGCGTCTATGACTATTCCTTTGAGCCTGCCTTCATTCGAAAGAGGAATGAGAGGGAAAGGCAGCGGGTGCGCTGCGTGAACGAGGGCTACACACGCCTGAGAGAGCACCTGCCCAAGGAATTTGCTGACAAGCGCCTCAGCAAAGTGGAGACCCTGAGAGCTGCAATAAGCTACATCAAACACCTGCAGAGCCTGCTGGACTGCCATCCCTCAGGGTCTGACAGTAAGGAAACGTTCTCTGCCACGGAGCTCACGGAAGCTCCCAGTCCTGGGCCTCTGCGGGAGTGCAACAGTGATGGAGAGTCTAAAACCTCTTCAGCTTCATCCCCCTACAGTGAATTTGAGGAGACGGGCAGCTAGGAAACGGCCTCTCTGGAGACAGAAGGCTTCAAGTTTGATTGAAAACCAAATCTAAAATCCTGGGGTTTTTTCCACAGATGAAAATGAATACCAGCAAAAGGAAAAACAGCTAGGAAAAAAAAAAAGGTATTTTCCATCTGTTAAAGGACTTTAAATGTTGTCTATACAAAACCTAAAGATGATTTGTAAGCAGACATATATCTCTTAGGTTGCTTCATCTGTGTTACTAAATTTCCTTTGGATTGTTAAAACTGAAGCAACATTTGCATTCTACTTTTCATTCAGCTTTTACTCTACTTGTCTATTTTCTTTTGCCTGTCACTTGATGAGACAGAAAACCAGATAAATTCATGTCAGGAAATTCCCCTCCCCTTTCTCTTGCTTCCTCCTGTAAGTTTTATTGTCTGTTTTTCCTGACTGCTAACCTGAGATGCACTGGGTTGCAAAAACTAGGACTGGGAAAGGTAAGATTTAGATAAAATCCTAAAATTTTTAGAAACCTCACAGAAATTTCTATTTCTGAAAAGACAATTTTTAAAATATAAATAAGGCTATATTTGGGAATTAATTTCATTTACAGCATCTTCTATAGTGAAAGAAGCAACTCATACATTGGACACTGGCTATTTGGTGGTTATTTGAAGGATAATTTTCAGGAAAAGAAAATCTGATACTTTAATTCTAATCAATACTAGGAAGAGGGAAACAGAGTTCTGTAAAACTGCACCTTCAAAAGCAAAGCTTCACTCATGATACTGAAAAAAATGTTGCCAGCTTTTTTTTGTTCTTTTACAAAAATTGAGTTTGTGGACAGAATAGTCTTGATGGTGTCTTTTTGACAGGTCAGGGATTATACGCTTAGAACTATGTTCCTGTAGTGGTTAGATACTGCTGTGTACAAAAAGGATAATATTAAATATATCTATTTACATTTGCATGCAAATGTAGATATTTCTTCTTTTGTTTAGAATATTGTATTACTTTTTCAAAGAATACACCTTTTAAAATTAATATATCAAAATCTATGGAATACCTTTAATTTGGACCACATCTACTTAAGATGAGAAATTGCTCTAAAATCTTCCTTTCTCCAAGGCCAGATTTAACTACCATTTACCTATGTGCTTAAATTCCATTCCGAATATGGGGTAAACTCCTTCTTACCCATATACTTTCCACAGACTTTTCAAAGTTTTCTTTTTTGGCCTCACATTGGTGAAGTGCTTTTGTATCTTTTTGTTTTTCCTTCGTGTTATGCTGACTGAACATCTGAAAAAATATTCCTGTATGAATAAGAACAAATACTGAACAAATACCTCAAAACGTGTCCATAAATTTCATTTAAATAAAAACCTGAATTAATCCTGGCTGTGGTTTTTTTCACTTTCAGTTGATAACAAATGGGACAGCACTGTTTGCAGAAGTAATGAATTTTCAGGAAAGAATAAAGAAAATGGATAGGAAGTAAATATGAACTGCTACCCATGAAACTAATTTTTTAATTTAGATTTTTAAATCTAGATAAGGAACAGGTTTGTGCTGTAGGTATTTAATCAAAATTATTCAGTCTAAAAATACACTGCTGATTTCTAGCAGACTACTCTGAATATTTGTACACTTTTAGCTATTGGGTGCCTGTCTTCAAGTACTTGCTGTCCAAGTGTGGGTCTAAGTATTTCTGGAACTCAGAACTCAATAATTTTTTCTTAAATTCCAGACAATAACCTTGAAAAAACCCCACATTTAGGCAAATCACATACAGTTCAGAAATGGAAAAAGCTTAGATGAGTTGTCCAAACAACTTGCTGCAAATTATTCACTCAGCCTGACTGTACATAAGCAGCACTGTTAAAAATGTCAATGGCAGTCACCAGCTTCATTCTTTATTCTTTACATGGTAGCCAGCTTCCTTTTGTAATGACTATTTTGTTTCCCTAAAGGCTGTTACTTTTGCAGGGTCTGTTTCCCAGTCCCAGAAAATAGAGGTCTAGTTACCTGGGCTGTTCTTTCTAAAGATCCTGAGCTGAAGCACTCATTTTTGGGTGCATAAGTGTTTGTTTCTGCATGAAAAGGAAATCCCTTCTGTGGGAAAAGTCTGTCATAGGTTGAACCACTCACAGGAAAGTTGTATGGTTTTATTTCTCACAGTTCCTGTTGTCATGCAAACTTCTTGCACGCTTTTAACACAAGGAAATAGAAAACAGCTCAAGATTTCCCAACTATGGGTCAGTGCTTCCTACAGGCATCAACAAAGGTTTCAAGTGAATGCTACATTTCAAAAGCTTTCTTAAGCTGTTTCTGTCTAGACAAAGGTTTTCATCAAAGCTTCTAAAGTGTATCATTATCAGACTTTGAAAGCAGACAATGATCCAACTTGTCACCCTGAGAATTAAAGTTTTAATAAAAATGTTGACCAGAAGAATTCTCTCCATGTGGCGCAGTTACTATTTACAAGAAAGGCGAACACTGATATCCCTAGGCAACTGTGCTATAGCTTTATCAAACTCCTGCACACCAAATGCAGACACTTTAATCTTCCTATCAAATGTGAAAATCCCACACATCTGAAGTCTTCCCTCTTCTGCCATTAAATTACAAATCCATTTGCTCCTTGATATTATCAGCATTTTAAAGATGTGTAATCCTGACCATGAGATTGCTTTTAATCCTCTAATAGCTATTTAGCTGATTTCTTTGTAAAAGCCCATCCGCACTCCTTTCATGTTATATTACCCAGTGCCAATAACATGGCCAAAGAAAAACAGAAGGCACTATAGAAAAGTCACGTTCAGACAGTAAAGCAATTTGGGCAAGTTTATCTCACTGGAATAAATGAACAGGGAACATCCATACAAATACAAAACTACAGAAACTTTGAAAAACATTTGTCACCAGCATACTTGGGAAGGAGGCAATGCAAGACCCAAAACATTTTGGGGAGACTCTCAAGTGATACCAACAACAATGCTGCTGGAGTTAGCTGAGGTCAACCACTATAGCTGAGCAAGGTCTCAGTAAGTCTCTCCAGAACAGTCTAAGCAAATAGAATTTCAGTGAGTGCTCATCACTAGTAACCCTCAGCGTATAGATAACTGGCTACAGAGTAAGACGTAAATTCATTCTAGGCAAATAGGGAGCAGCAAAATGGTAAGACTGCAGCTGCACCTCGCTCTTACGCAAGGCTGTCCAGCTGTAGATCTGGAAACCCTGTAAGCACAAGATGAGCAACGTTCTCCATCAACCTGAAGGTGTGCTTGTAGGTAAAAAATTGCTATAAATGCTCACTCTTGTGTTTCCCACGATTTTTACACATTTTTCCTACTTCAATGTGAATGTGTCCACTGACAGAGCAATGGAAAAGTTCTTCATGTTGCTGTCGCTGAGAGAACAAACTAGAGGATTTAAGGTATTTCTAAAGGTAGATGTCTCTCTCTCCATATCTCAATGGATCTCCATATGGTGGATCCAATGGTGGATCAGATACAGAAAGGGGTCAGGCTAGGATGCTGGTGAAATGAGCAAAGACTGCCAAGAACATTTGTTCAGAATTTACAGCAGCCTGACAAGGTCACACTGTTCAGAAGATGCCCCAGAGCTGGATGAAAATGTTATAACTCAGCTACCCTGAGGAAAGAACCTGGAAAGTCAGTAGGAACCAGCATGTTCTTTAGTGTGCTGTGCAAGAGACTGGTAGTGCTTTTCAGGAAAGGACTACCTTTTTTTGTCATCAGTATGTCCTTCCCCCTACCCACTTTTATCCACGTTGCATGATTAGTCCTTTGACCATGAGGTCTGATCTGCATAGCAGGCACAGCTAGCTGGTGGGTCAGGGACCCAGCACCCAACTGTGCTTGGTTGGCAGCAGGGTTCTGGAAAAGATGATAGCAGGCTGGGAGAAAGGCTGTTGCTTCACTCTGGGAAGGAGATGCTTGCCTAGGTGGGTGTCCATATGGAAGCTACCACTCTCTAAGAGTGAGATTTAACAGGTCTTGTTTTAGCATCCACACTTCAGTAGCCTTGCACTCTTGTATCACTCAAAAAATTCTCATTTAAAAAGCCAAGTTGAAAAGTGAGCCTGGGAAAAGACATAAGGTGCTATTTGCAGTGCTATAGCACTCAGCTCCACTGGGGAGCTTACCACGAGGGCTTTACAGGTGCAAATATCTCACTGAAATCAAACAAGCTTGGTTATCTACCTGTGTTGCCAGAACTTGTGCCTCCATGGCCTGAGCATGCAACATGCACACAGGGTAGAACCAGCACCACAGCAGATACTTGAGAATATGAAGGGTGTGGATAGTTGCCCCTACCATGCCTGGGCTGAGGGTGAGAATAAAGATTCAAAGCTCTAGCCTGGCAGTGAGGTACAGCCTTGGAAGAAAAAAACCTTTGCCCAGCTTGGAAACTGAGTTGAAAAATTAAGTGAATGACAACTAAAACCCAACTCAGGAATGTATAGAATGGGCATGTGCAGAGGCTGGGTTTATGGAATACATGCCAGAGGAAAAGCACAAAAAAAGGTTGCTTTGTTTGTTTTGCCTTTATTTGTCAGGGCTTACACAAGAACCATCCTTCCCTAAGAAACATGGTAGGTGCATGCGTACAAGCTGGAAAGGCTGGGGTACCCACAACCCAGCCTCGGAGCAGAGTTCTGCCACTGTGATTTTCCTGGGGAGACCAGGAGTCTCATGCAGTCCTGCACCTCGAAAATTCAAGATAAAGCCGTTAGCATTTTTATTGTCTGCTTTCCAATGGAAACAAAGCTTAGACTATGCTCTGTGTATGAGACATCCTGTCTTCAAAAGCTTCTGAACCTGCGACTGATTTTCAGCCAACCTCTATGGGAAGAGAGTCTCAAAATACAAATCAATATTCTCAAATTTTAAGGGATGAAAATATGAGTATTTAGAGGAAGTTCTGTATTTAGGACAGGGAAGCTGAATGAATGGGCTGTGAGAGGCTGAAGGGCTGAAAATACAGGGAAGGTAGTGGGCAGTGAT